ATGTACTGTCATCCTACCTATCAGTTTATCTTCCCTGCTTGAGTAAGAGCTTCATGAGCAGAGGGTATGAGTCTATATTGTTTAACAACTGTTCCCCCAACACTTAGCTCAATGCTCAGAACATGAAAGGTGTGTTCTAACCTCTTGCTCTCAATAACTGAGTTTTTATAATACAAATTAACCTGAAAAAGGAAAATCTTATCCAACAAAATGAACTACCCTATTTCCTCCCAAATCCCAATACTTCTCTGTTCCACAATTTTTAATCATGACCTCTTGTCTTATGTTTACTCATGCCTCCACCTTCCTAAACACCCTCCTCCATCAGAATATAAACTTCATGAGAGCAGAGGATGTCGGTTTTATTCATTGCTGTTTCCTCAGAACCTAGAACAGTGCCTACTCACCACAAGACACTTTTCATTCAATAGGTGCTCAATGAATGCTGTCCTCGCTACCTTGCCCTGCCTCTCTTCATCTGAAAACCAAGCCACATAACTTATGAAGCCTTCTCAGATAGTACCAGTAAGAAATAATCTCTTCTTCCATACACAATAATATTTTATATCTTTCTTAAAATACCTTCTATACTTTACCTTGTGCTAAAATTATGTGTCTTATCATATATCATTCTTCTTGGTATAACCCACAGCATCCTAGCACATCCTAGTACCTGTCTGGTACACAGTATCTACAGAACAAAGATCTGTCGGAGTAAACTGATAAATAATAATATTACATACAATTATGGGTATATACAGTATCAGAAACCTGATACCATGCTAGTTTTCTAGAGAACCTTCTCATTCATGTATACATCCCTAGCCCAGGCCATTACCATTACAACTCCATCTACTCAGCATCTTCCTCTTGCAATGGGTATTTTGTCAAGAGTAAGTATCTTTCTTAACTGTTTTGCTTCATTTCTCAGCACTACAGGTTGTGAAATAAAAGTAAAGTCCTTGATCCTGTGCTTTTAGGTTTTCTGCTCAAACAGGGATGGGGAACATGTGGCCTTCTGGATCCTTGACTGCAGCAGTTGACTGAATCCAAATTTTACAAAAGAAATCCTTTTATTAAAAGGGGCACAGGAGAGAAAGATGAAGCTTTTATGGCCTCCTTTGGTGCCTTAAAAAAAAAATCTTGAAATCAGAAGGCTGTAAATTCCCCCCTCCAAGCACTATATTTAAAAGGATCCTCAATTATGCCCACCTGTACTTCTTGCATACCAGTCAATCACGCATGCTGTTTTCCCCAAGTGGAATATCCTTTATTATTTTCTATGCAAAAAGCAGTTACACTTCTGCATAAAAATTCTAAGTCTTACTCCTCTTTCTGGAGGCCTTCCCAAGCCTCTGTTTTGAGTCACTTTAGTTGGTCTAACAAATTAATTAGTACTTGCTCTGTCATTTATAATCACATTTATGTTACTTAATTACATAAGTTTGAATTAAATGTAGGGAATTTTCTTTTAAAATCAAGGACAACAGAATATGCATATATGAAAAGAAATCTGACTCAGTGTTGAAGTCTTCAGCATAGCAAATACTAGTGACAGAACAGTGTAGATGTACACAGCACAGACACTGAAGGCAGACTACCTGAGTTCAAATCTTAGCTTTGGTACTTATTAGTAACCTCAGAGAACTTATTTAACATCCATGTTCTTCAGCAGTTTCATCATTTTGAGTTATTTAAAAAAATTACATGAGTAAATATGCATAAAATCCTTTAAAAAGCATTTGGCACATAAACTCAATATAATTTTCTATTATTATTATTACTACTACTACTGTTATTATTGTCGTTATACTCTTAGGACTTCAGTCCTCTTACTTTATAGCTGAGGATACTGAAGCTCAAATTTAACAACTTGCAGAAAGTCACAAGATCTAGTAAGTGGTAACACCAGAAAAGAAACACAGGATTCCTGTAGAAGAGTCCATCGGTCTCACCACTTTATTCAATATTTTTTCAATATCTTGAAAAATACTGAAACTTTATTCAATATTTTTTAGGTTTTCAGGACCATTATATGATAAAGTGATAAGAAGATGAAAGAAATTTTTAAAAGGAAAAAGACATTAATAAACTCAAGAATTAAGAAAAAAAGAAAGAAATACTATAGTAACAGAAAAGAGAGCATGAGCTTATATTCATGTAAATGGAGGGAAAAGGGAAGTGTTCCACACAATGGAGCTAAGAATATTAGGTTGGAGATTACAATCAGGCTTTATTTTTCATTTAGGACATAAAGATGTTCTTACTTGCATTTTAAAAAATCACTTCTCTTTAGCAATGTAGAAAGACTTTTCTGTTCCATCAAAGGCTCATCTCTTTTCAAAGAGTCAAAAATATGTGAAATATTTTGACTTTTTACATAAAATTCTGATGCTGTTTACACATTAACAAAAGAAATCACAAATATAATAAGGTACTTTTAGGAATGTCAACATATTTACTGTCTACATTTAAAACTCCTTTTTACTTTTAAAAGTTTTCAACTTATAATTCTGTCTGGTTTTTGAGAAAACTTTAAATGTCTAAAGGTCATGATCAGGACCATCACTATTTGACCATCCAAGGTATTTCCTTCGGTAAAACCCAATGGTTACTTAATATATAACCTCTAACTTAGTAAAACTACTATTATATAACCTTTCACCCTCCACCCCCCAGAAAACCTCTAAATGAAAAATAACATCAATTTATCAGCACAGAAAACTGTGTTTTGAAAGAACATAACCATTCAGAATATTTGTTAAATAATATCTGTTCCCCCAATTATATGTACTTTGCTAATAGCTGGTCTCTTTCTACAGGTTTCTCTCCTACAGTGGCAACAAATTCACAGCTCAGGCCAAAATAAATATCAATATTACTAACCGAAAAGTTCTGGTACTGTTATGTATATTTTGTGGAACTGCATCGCAAAGGGAAATTTTTGATGTTTTTACATTTTAAACTTAAAATGAAGACAAAAAAGATAAGCAGTAGAAAATGAATAATGTATATATCCAAAATGTACATTCAAAAACACATGCTTTTATGATATGAATCCTGTATGTATTCAGACTTCTACTATAAAACTGACAATATAGTGCCGGGGAAAAAAGGGATGATTATCAGAAATAAAGAAGAATTGCTCTAAGAACTATAAAACAAGGTAACAGGATAAAAGGCAGGCTTAATATCCAAAAGCAATGCACAACTGACAACCCAATTCCAACTTCCAAAAATAACTTTGTTACAGGAACTTCAGAAGAAAGCAAATGGTAGAGAGGATCACAATTCTTCAGCCCTTCAAACTATGTATCTTTCCAAATTGCTTAATGATGTTTTTGTTTTTAAAAAAAAAAAAGTGGATTTTTCTCCTTCAATTCTGACACTCAATGCTAAATATTTTTTACCCCACATTTTCATACAATGTCCATATGCTAAATCTGTTTTAAAAGGCAAAGGCAGGAGGGCAGAAAGTGACATGTGTTTCCCTCTCATATGATTACATACTGAGCGTATCAACATTTCAGTCTTAAATCTATCTAGTTCTGTTACCAAAAGACTATGTCAGCAATACTAAACTTCAACTTCTTAAACTCTGGTTTATGTAAAGTCAAAAATTGTTCTAGCCTAAGAGTTCATTCTATATTCCTTGATAACTGGCTTACTAAATTCCCTCCACTGGCTCCCATAAATCTTTCTGACTAAATCTTGTTGCTGCTATATCTTATGGACTCACATGATCCCAACTTAACTCCAGTATGAGGTTTTTATCTTTGAGGCTCAAAAGTTTTATCCCTTTACTAGGAATGGACATAGAACAAATTCATTTGACCAAACATTTATTCAGTTTCCTTCATATTATTCTATTTTCTTTGCCCCGCTTTATTTTGCAATCACGTACTGATATCCATTATACAGTATAAAAAATCATAACACCAGAGATACAAATATATTTTCTCTGCCATTATGGGGATCATAGTCCAATAGAGGAGGCAAGTATAAAACAACTAATTTCTATCAAGTGTGAGAAATTCTATAAAAGAGCTTTATAAAAATTCTATAAGAACACGAAAGGGGAGAGACGCTTCACAAAGTGGCTAACATTTGAAATAGGTTCTTGAATGTCTTGAAGAACAGTAGGGTAGGATGGGTGTGTGTGTGTGTGTGTATGTTTTAGCTGAAATGCTAGAATTGTAGAATGTGTGAGAAAAGCTCAAGGGTAGTGTTAATGTCTGACTGGCAGCCAAAATATTGGCTAAAAATTTGTTAAAATATACAACTTAGGATATCACTTAGAGCTTCTTTGCTTATTCATTCTTGCAAATTAATTTTAACCCTGAATTCACAAGAATTATCTTACAAACAATACGCACACAACTTAGAGATATTATGTACAAAGTAACTATTTATTGCATAGATAGAAGCAGGAAAAGGCATTTTGAAAACAATGAGGAAAATTCAATGTAAACAGACTGATCATCTGCAATGGAAGGGAATAGTTGTGTCACACAAAACTAGTCCTCAATGTTGTAGATGCAGAGGAAACAGTATAAATTAAAATTCAAATCTGTACCCCCATAATATGCCAAAATAAAAAAAATAAAAAAAAAAAGAATGTTATCTTCTAAAAAACTCTTCAACCCAATTTGCTAGAGCCTGATTTGTGCAATTTGATAAGTTTTTTCAGACACAGAAGAAAGTACACTTAATAAAATAGTCTTCTCAGAAACAAACAAAAAAAAAAAAATTCAAGAGTGCTAGATTCAGTCTCACGCAATAGGTATGTCCTAATTATGACAAAACCTTTTACTTAATTCCTAAACTGCCCACCTCCCTCAAGATTAAATAATGGGTCTAAAAAATGTTTTGAGAAATATAAAAGGCTACATAAATAAAATCTTACCTTCATTACAGTTATACTTGCTATATTGGAAATGAATTTTTATAATCTATACTTCTAACACATTCGGACTAAATTTATAATAAAGAGCTCTTACCCGTTCTACAGATCGCGCCCTCTTCTTTGGCCGAGTAGGCAGCGCATCTTCCTTCGGATTCGTATCTATTGCCCAATAGGATCCCTAAAGGCAAAGAAGTAAGTTCTATTAACAGTATGCTATAGCAACCCAATAACATTAAAATGGATTTTTATAATCCTCTGCTCCAAAAGCAAACATTTTGCAAATACAACAATGGGAAAGAAGCATGAGAAGAAACACTATTTTTGAACTGAAAAAAGTAATGTTTATATGAGGGGGAAAAAGTCCACTTATAACTAAAGAGAAAATAACCATAAGCTGAAGAACCCACGTCCAAGAACTTTTGCCACATTCAATTTAAAAGAGAAATGATCAACTAAATTTTAATATATAATAATTCTCAACTGAACACATGATAACTACATCATATGTTAAACTGTACAAGATTTTTATGCTAAAGATACTGTAGTTTCTGTACCCTGGCATGTCACTGCTTGGACATATTTTATATAATAAGTGCATCTTGAAAAGCAATGGTCTGTACATAAATCTTGTACTGCTTACTCTGTCTCAATTTAACTATTCTCTTTTACTTTTTGATACAAGTTCTCACACCATTTATTTAAAAATACATATGGAGCACCTAACTGTGTTCTAGGCATTCAGAAACTGTGACTCCAAAAAAAAAAAACATCTATTTTGACAAACATAGATCATATAGTTTGCACGTATTATACAGACAATGAGACCAAAGCTCAGAAAGATGAACTGGCTTGCCCAACCAAGGATATGAGAGCCAGGACCAGAACCAAGGTCTTGATTCTTAGTTCCTATCTCCCTCAATTATCCTGCTTCTCTCTCTAAATATACCCACTTTTGGGGAAAGAGGACAAAAATGGGGGAGTTTCATCATCCAGCCACTGCTGAGGTATTTCTCTATATTATCTTTTCAAAGTGGTCACTGCATTTAAGCTAATAAGTCTACCAGACCTGACATAAACGTACCAAGAAGCATGTAAAATGCAGATGCTACAAAAACCACTAAAAATGAAAACAATGATATCATGAATAGGTTTAGCTAACAAGTTTCAAAATAAACCAAGTAGGAAAAAAATGCATACTGAGTTATTAAAAAATTAAAAATAAAACAGGAGAGCAAATACCAAAACTCACTGGACAACTTTTTATGGAAATGATAAATGCCATTGTTTAGTTTTGTTTGGGATGAGTATGTTTATGTGTATTAATCTGGGGAAACTATTCAGTGTCCAAACTTCAGACTGATTTGCTACTAAACATTCCAATGAAACTACAAAAACAAAACAAAACTAAATAGACTGTATCTGTTCCTCCACACAAAATACAATCGGCTGTGGCTTGTTACAAATAGATCAACAGAGAAAAAAAATTATTCACAATCATAGTACTATCCATTAGGTTCTCTCTCTCCTGAATGCCAAAATGCAAATACTAATGATTGAAATGATTCATGAAAGCGACTGTGAAATCTTCCACATCCATAGACATGCAGACACGCACGCACGCACGCACACACATACATACATACATACATACATACATACATACATACATAAATAACAAGTACAGGTTGAATACCCCTTATCTAAAATGCTTGGGACAAGTCTTCTGGATTTCAGATTTTGATAATAGACATGCTAATGTGTGTGAACTGGTATCTCATTGTGGTTCTGCTTTGTGAAAGGCAATTTTAAGGTCCCTTTATCCAAATGTGTAAGTTCACAGATCAAACTCAGGTACTAGGTTAGTCAGAACCATTAGGTGGAAGATTTCACAACCACTTTCAACTCAGATCTTGGAATATTTGTGCATAAATAATGAGATATCTTAGGGATGGGGCTGTCTAAACTTGAAATTGATTAATGTTTCATATATGCCTTATACACATGGTCTGAAGGTAATTTTATACAATAATTTTAATGACTTTGTACATAAAACAAAGTTTTGATTGCAACCCATTACATGAGATCAGGTGTAAATTTTCCACTAGTGGCATAATGTTGGCGTTCAAAAAGTTTTGCATTTTGGATTTCAAGTTTTTGAATTAGGGATGTTCAACCTGTATCAGTGAGGATGTGGAGAAACTGAAACTTTTGTGTATTGCTGGTAGGAATGTAAAATGGTACAGCCACTCTGGAAAGGGTATGGCAGTCTCTCAAAATATTAAACAGAATTATGAAATGATCCAGCAGGTCCACTTGTGGAAATATACCCAAAAGACTTGAAAGCAGGAATCAAACAAGTATTCATACACCCATATTCACAGCAACATTATTCACAATAGCCAAAAGGTGGAAGCAGCCCAAGTGTGCATGGTAGGATGAATGGACAAACAAAATATGGTACATATAATGGAATATTGTTCAGCCTTAAAAAGGAAAGAAATTCTGACAAATAAGCCAGTCACAGAAGGGTAATATTGTATGACTCTCCTTACAGTCAAATTCAGAGACAAAGAAGTAGAATGGTGGTTGCTATGAGGGGAGGGGAGTATGGTGGACAGTTATTATTTAACGAGTACATAATTTAAGCTTGGGAAGATGAAAAGGTTCTGGAGACGGATGGTGGTGATGGTTGCAGAACAATGTGAATGTACTTAACACCACTAACTGTACCCTTGAAATGGTTCAAGTGGTAAATTTTATGTGTATTTTACCAACAAGTCCCTTTCAGTTACCTTTAAAAAGCAGTTACCTTTGCCCTTCCTTGTTAAACAATACACATCTCACAAAAAATGAACTGCCATCTATATAGCCAATCAACAAATAGATGCTTGATCCAATTTCCTCCCAGAGTAGGTTCACATGGATCAAGTAGGAAAATGGAGGTTTTTGTTTGGTTATATATTTAAAATCAACTTTATTTAAGTATATTTAAACAGAAATAAAATATACTCATTTTAAGTGTACAAATCAAGGAATTTTGACAATTGTATACAGTCATGTAACTAACACTCAAATGAAGATATAGAACATTTCTATAACCCTAAAAAACTCCTGTGTGGCTCAGCAAGCAATTCCCTTTCCTTTGCAGACCCCTTTGTGAAAGGGAATTTTAAGGTCCCTTTATCCAAATGTGTAAGTTCACAGATCATCCCATACAACCAATGATCTGCTATCATTATGGATTAGTTTTGCCATTTCTAGAATTTCATATAAAGGAACCCAAGCTGTCAAACTATCTTCCCCTCTCACCAGCAAGAGTTCAGTTGTTCCGTCTTGCCAATACTTGATATTTTAAGTCCTTCCAATCACAAGCATTCTAGTGACAGGTAGTGTTGTGCACTGTGGATTTCCATGTGCATTTCCCTAATGAATAATGATGCTAGGCACCTTTGTATGTACTTGTTTGCCACCTATATATCATCTTTTATGAAGTGCCTGTTCATATCTTTTGCCCATGTCTTATTTGGATTATAAGAATTTGGGTTATTTGTTATTAGAATTTTTTTATATATTCTGAACAAATCCTTTGTCCACTATATGCATTGGGGACATTTTCTCTCCATTTGTGATTATCTATTTGTTTTTAAGATAGAACCTTCTAAGGAGTAAAAAGTTTTTATACTATGTGCTTTGTGTCCATTAAAAAAAAAACAAAACACTTTGCCAACTCTAAGATACCAAGTATTTTCTCCACTGTTTCCTTCTAGAAGTTTTATAGTCTTAACTTTTATGTTTAGGTCTCTGATCCACTTAATTTTCTGTGTGAGATGAGAATTAATATTAATTTTTCTTCCACCCAGATATACAGCACCACTTCTTGAAAAGACTACAACATTTCCCTATTGAATTACATTGGATGCTCTGTCAAAGTATCAGTGAAGTATGGATGTGGGTCTATTTCTGAACTCTATTTTGTTCTATTGATCTACATGTCTATCCTTATGACAATATTATTTTGTCTTGATTACTGTAGCTGTGTAAAACTTTGAAATAAAGCAGTATATATATCCTACAACTTTGGCTTTTTTCAAAATTGTTTGCCCATTCTAGGTCCTTTGTGTTTCCACATAAATATGAGAATAGCTTGTTATTTTCAAAAAAAAGTCTACTGGGATTTTTTATTGGGATTACATTAACACTACAAATCCAAATAGATTTACAGTGGAGGACTGACATCTAGCAATGAGTCCTCCACTCCACAAACATGCTGTATCTTTTCACTCACTGAGGTCTTCCTTCATTTCTGTTGGTAATGTTTTATAGTTTTCAGTGAATAGGTCTGCATATATTTTGTTAAAATGTATCCCTAAATTATTTCATTATTTTGGATACTATGGTAAATGGAATTGCTTTTGTTAACTTCATTTTCCAAGCATCCCTTGCTAGTATTGAAAAAATTATACTGACCTTGTATCTTATGATCTTGCTAAACTTATTAGTACTAATAGCTTTCCACAGATTGTTTAGGACTTTCTACATATGCAATAATGTTTGAAAAAAATATTTTTTTTACTTATTCTTTTTCCATCTACATGCCTTTTATTTCTTTCTCTCACCTTACTTATTTCATTGGCCAAGACCTCAAACAGAATTTTGAATAAAAGTTTAAATGCAAACATCCTTTCTCTGTTCTCAGAGTGTAACATATAGGTTTTCCATAGATACCTTTAATTAAGTTAAAGAAATTCCTTTGCAGTCGTAGTTTGCTGAATGAGTGTTACATTTTGTCAAACATTTTTTCTACACCTTACATATGTGATTTTTTCAGCTTTCTTCACATGGTGAGTTACATCAATTGTTTTTTTAATTTTAACCTGCATCACTTTTCCTGGAACAAACTCACTTTGTCATGATGTATTCTCCTTTTTTACATAACAATAGATTCAATTTGCTGATTTCTGGTTTGGGTCTATGTTCTATGTTCTGGTTGGGTCTATGCAGATTTCTGCTGTTTGGGTCTATGTTCACAAAGGATATTGGTCTGTAGTTTTGTTTTCTTATAATTTCTTTGCCTGACTTTGGCATCGTGTTAATGCTGACCTCATGAAACAAGATGGAAACTATTCCTTCCCCCACTCTTTTTGTAAGTGTGTGTGGGATTAGTATTGCTTTTTCCTT